AAATATTGACACTAAAACATGTTAAATTATTATTAACAAGGAAAAAGTGTTAAGGGTTAAAAAATTCCAGTGTGCTACAATTCTCTACTTTTACTCCCTGAATGGGAATAAAACAGAATCATTAGAAGTATTTGTCACTACTGTGATGATGGAAATACTGAACGTGGGGGTATTTTCTGCAGGAAAGTAAGAGAGGCATTTGCCAGTATAAAGAATTACTTTGCACTGGCAGCCAGGCAGTGACAGTGCTATAAAAACAGGCAGCAGAGAAGATACGATGGCCCTGGAAAAATCATCCCTGTGCTGTTTTATATCCCACAGCTGCACTAGCAGAGGAGATATTTGCCTAAAATCATTTCACTGTGGTGCAAACACTCCCAGGACTCTGCTCAGCGGCCGAAAGCAGTTTAAGTCTCATCACTACTCTGAGCTACTTCAAATTTACTATGGACACTTTGGATGCACAGAATTCAAAGATCTGCTAAAATCACAGACTTTTTAATCTCATTTATCCTAAAAAAAAAAATTTTAAATCCCACAGTTTCCAACTGGAAGCAGAAGCTGCTGCAGACTGGGGGTGTTTAGGGTTTGGTCCCCTCCCTCTCCCGCGTTTCCTCCGGCACTCGCAGGAAAAGCCGGGGCTCCCCCGAGTCCAACTGTCCCATTGAAAGATTCCAAGTGAGACAGAAGAGTATTCTCAGCACAGCCCCAGCCTCCCACTCGCTAATTGGAGGCCAGTCCCCATTTTGTGGAGCCTTGATGCTCCCCCATGGAGAACTCGGGACTGTGGGTTCCAGCCCCGGACTGTGGTGACAGCAGGAGAGTAAACAGAGCTGATAGAATTTGACAGGTCTATTCTTTGCTTAAAATCATTCAGTCTAAAAGATTTGCTTTTACATAATCCAAAGTGTTTTCTCATGAAGTAGGACAAATACTGCTCTGCATTTATGGTGCAGTGCAGATTTTATGCATTTTTATCAGAATTGGCCACTATTAAACGAGGTCAAATAATTTATTTTAAAGCCGTATTAAAGAAACCACAAGTGGGTTAAAAACTTTAGACAACTGGGATCTGTGAGTTCCAAATGTTTCACAAAGCAGTTTTTAAAAGCAGTTGATTTGTGAGTAAAAGAAAATTGCAATTCCTTTACTGTAGTAAGAAAAATTCTATCTTTCTCCCCCAAAAAGACAGATTTTTCTGCGGCTATGACTGAAATAGTTCTCCCTATAAAAAGGGTCTTTGTTAAGGTGGTGAGTTCTGCAGGGCACTGAAGATGCAGACTTAAATCCAAGTCCCCACCAGCCCCTCTCATCCACACCCTTCATTAAATCCTGAATAATTTCTTTACAAATATTTACGTAGCCAAGAAAAATGCCCAGAGCAAACAGTGCCTCCGTAAACAGCAAAACAGCTCCACAAACCTTTTTCCACAGAGGCTCCAGGGACTATAACAAATCACTTGTTGAGCTGCAAGAGGCTGCGCTGCAGCGTTTGCATTTTGAATAGAGGGAGGCTGAGAGAAAAATACCTGCACCCGAGAAATGGGTACAAACCCCCAAGGCTGGGAGGAGAGAGTCTCTCACTCTTTATTTTAAAGCAAGAAATTAATTTCTTTTTATTTTTTTCCCCTGGATCGTGTCCTGTATTTCTGTATTTCTTGGAGCTTTGCATCATGTGACAAGATGTAACCTAACATAACCCAGGGCTCTGTAACTCATGCAGAACTCTCCTGTGACTCCTAACAATACTTTTTAAATGATAAATGGAAGCCTAGTGGCAAAGGTAAATTAAATTATCAAAGGCTCTTGGCAAATCCAGGTTTGTTCCCACCACTATTAAAAGACCTTTGACATATCAGTGCTTTGGAGGGCTACACAAGTACTTGTTTTAATTAAAATCTCTTCTAGTGCCTATTGCACTTATTGAGGCTCTCCACGGCTGCTCCATAACAATGCAAAAAGTGATCTGAAACGGAACTTTTCAATAATTATTATTTAACAAGAATATCCTTCTCTGGCAACGCTTGTGCAGGAGAAAGAGTTTTAAAGGAAGGTCAGCCCTCCTTTTAAGGCGGCCCTCCTTCAGCACCTCCTTTGGAGGTGTGTATATCAAATATAGGTTGGTATCAAAATCAGAGAATCATAGAATTACAGAAGGTTGGAAAAGACCTCCAAGATTGTCAAGTCCAACCTCCATCTGAATCCCACTCTGCCCACTGTACCACATTGTGAATCTTTCAAACAGAAATGCTTTTACATAAGGAATGCATTGTAACCAGTCATCAGCTTAGAAATCTTATTTTGAGTGGAGAAATAATGAGATAATTTTTAAGAAGAAGAAAAATGGATTTCTACATGCTAAAGGGATTTTTTTGGGGAAATAAGGAGGAAACAACAGGGGTTAGCAGGATGTGACAGTGCAGGGGTCACTTTGGAAACGGAGAAGTGCCTCACCTGTACTCCTGGGAAGGGTGGTGGTTTTGCCCTGAGTTCCTAATGATTCCTGACATTATGGCCGGGATATCACTCTCTATCATCTCCTTGGGCAGCAGCAGGCAGGGTCAGCAGCAGTAGCTATCCAGCACTTCAGCAGCGGCGGGAGGCACCGGGGCACGGCCCGGCCGGGGACCGGCACCGCCACGTGCACTGGTGGTACTGGGAAAGGCAGGAGAACATCTCACGGGGGATAATCCCGGCTCAGAGCGGGACCGCCGAGGGAGGGACAGCCACGGGCAGGGGCTGTGGGTCCCGGGAGCACCGGGAGCAGGGAGCGCTCCCGCCTCGGGACCGCTCTTATCCCCCAGGCAGCATCCGCCGCCGCCGCGTTTTGGAAGCCCGAGCTGCGGGAGCTGCAGCGGTTCCGGCGCGCCCCGGCGATGGGGTGAACTGGGGAACCCCGGCCCCGCTGCCCCGGCGATGGAGCGATCCCGGGAGAATCCCAGCCCCGCTGCCTGGGGATGGAGAGAGTCCGGTGTTCCCTAGTCCCGCTGCCCCAGGGATGGGGTGAGCCGGGGTTTCCCAGCCCCTATGCTCCGGGAATGAGGCGGGAGCCCGGGTGAACCCCAGCCCCGTTGCCCCAGGAACGAGGGAAACAGCGGGACCCCAGCCCCGCTGCTCCAGGAACGGAGGGGGATCCCGGGGGATCTCCAACCCCGCTGTCCCAGGGATGGAGTGAGCCGGGGGTCCCCGTCACCACTGCCCCGGACATGGAGGGGGAACCCGGGGTTTCCCAGCCTCACTGACCCGAGGGTGGAGCGATCCCGGACAACCCCATCCCGCTGCCCGGGGATAGAAAGAGCCCGGGTGATCTCAGCCCTACTGCCCTGGGGGTAGAGGGGGAGCCCAGGGGACTCAGCCCCGCTGCCCCAGGGATGGAGGAGGATCCCGTGGCTCTTCAACCCCGCTGCCCGCGGGATGGAGCGACCCCGGGAGAACCCCATCCCGCTGCCCGGCGATGGAAAGATCCCGGGTGATCCCAGCCCCGCTGCCCGGAGATGGAGAGAGCCCGATGTTCCCCCTCCCCGCCGCGCCGCGCCGACCCCCCGCGCCCCGGGCCGGGCGCTGCCGCTGCTGCACGAACCTGCGGGCGGGGGGCCCGGCGGGGTCTGATCTGGGGCCCGGCGGGGTCTGATCTCGGGCCCGGCGGGGCCGCGCTCCGGCCCCGGTTTAAATTTCCCTCTCCGGAGCTGTCCAGCCCGAGCATGCGCGGCCCGGCCCGGGGTCAGCGCCGGGGCAGCGCGGGCAGGGCCGGCCCCGCGCCCGCCGCTCCCGCACCGCCCCCGCACGGCCCGGGAGGGGCCGCGGTGGGGTGGGATGGGGTGGGCGGGCGTGTCGAGGGGGAGCAGGGCAAATAAACGGGAAAAAACCCAACTAACCCAACTCCGGGCAACTTTGCGGAGGGACGAGGGGGAGGGACCCACCGGCTCAAACGGGCACCGGGCGGGAGGGGAGGGGGGGCGGCTCGGGGGGGCCGGTGCGCGGTGGGCGCTGCCCGATGGCCGAACGCGGTGGCCGTTGCCCGGTGCCCGTTTCGCGGTGCCCGGTGCTCTGTGCCCGGTGTGCGGAGCCCGGTGCTCGGCGCCCAGTGCCCGCTACCCTGTGTCCGGTTCCCGGAGGCCGGTGCCCGGAGCCCGGAGCCTGCTGCCCGGTACCCTGGGCCCTTTGCCCGGTGCCCGGTGGCCGCAGCCCCGCTCGGCGCCGCGGGAGCGGAGCGGAGGCAGCGCCCGGACGCGCTTCTCCCCTCCCGCCGCCGGTCTCGCTCCGGGATGGCCGCGGGAAGAGCCCGGGAGCCGCCGCAGCGGGAAGGGAGCCGGGAGAGCCCGGGAGGCTGCACCTCCCGTTCTGCTGCCGCAGCGCTGGCACTGTGAGGGTGGTGAGGCACCAGCACAGGTTGCCCAGAGAAGCTGTAGCTGCCCCATCCCTGGAAATGTCCAAGGCCGGTTGGACGGAGCTTGGAGCAAGCTGGGATAGTGGAAGGTGTCCCTGCCCGTGGCAGGGTTTCCACTTTAAGTCGCTTCCAACCCAAACCACTGTGTGATTCCATGATTCTATGAAGGTGGCTCCCCATGGACCTGCAGCCATGGGGCAAGGGGCAGTTGCCCCACCAAGGGTGGGCAGAGGTGGAGGGGACACGGTCCTGCCCCTGGAAGGCACCCACAGAGCCCAGCCAGCCCTGGGGATGTGAGTGGGAGGGAGGGACCCAGGTTGGAAACTGAGGGGTCTGGTAAATGTGGGCACCTTTATTTAACTACATTTATACATAAAATAAACAAATAGTCCCCCTGTATTCAGCACTGGTGAAGCACCTCAAATCCTGGGGGCAGTCCTGGGCCCCTCATGACAGGACAGACATTGGGGATGTCTGTCAGTGTGTCCAGGGAAGGGAACGGAGCTGGGGAAGGGTCTGGTGCCCCAGGAGCAGCTGAGGGAGCTGGGGGGCTCAGCCTGAAGAAAAGGAGGCTCAGGGAGACCTTCTGGCTCTCTAAACTCCCTGACCAGGAGAGGTTTGGGTTGGACATCAGGAGGAATTTCTTCACAGAAAGGGTTGTTGGGCATCAAAACAGGGACCAGCCTCCCTTGTTAGGAAAATGGCTTTTATGTAGAAGCAGTTTGAGGTCACTGATGACACCAGGTCATTTGGGCTCTGCATAGCAAAGCTTAAATGTGGAAATACTTCCAGTATCCTTGCACGATGAAACCCCAGAAGATTAATGATAAATGTATTTCCTTGTGCTTCACAGTTTTACCACAGAGTATGGAGTGGAGGAAATGTGAAGACAGAGATCTTTCTTTTTCTGCTCTTAATGAGAATCTGTTCACTTTGATGAGCATCAAATCTCTCTCTGTTAATTGCTGTTGATAGAAGTGCAGATTAATCAATATTTCTATACATCAAGGCCTATACCAGGCACATCTGGAGAACCAAAATAAGAGGAAAAGTCTCAGTACTGCCAGAGCCCAAGGCACAGAGTTTGCACAGTTGCAAGTGTTCCCTTAATTACAGAGTTATTAAAATGTCATCTTACAGTCATTATATCCTTACCTTATATCTTAAAAACCATTTTAAAAAATGCATTCCTGGAGCTGGATATTTGCAGGAAGGGTGAGGATAAAACACACCATTTCTTTCAGCCTTCCTTGGAGCCTGTTCAGGCCATTGTGTGGAGCTTTTCGCCTGACTGGTTTCCTGTAGCAGAACATTCCATGCAGGATTCATTTCTCCAGGTGATTTGCATACCTCCTGCTTGGAAGGGCCACATCAGACCAGGTGAGGAGAAAGGGTGGCTCCTGCCTCGTTGGCTCACGGAGGGAGCTTAAACTGGAATGGGGAGGGATTAAGGGTTTAGTTCTCCAAACACTTGGAAGAGGACATGGCAAGTTGCAACAAGGAAAATTCCAGTTAATTGTTACAAAGAACATTTTCACAATGAGGTCCAACATTGCAACGGGGCACAGGGGGGTGGTGAGTCCCTGCCCTTGGAGGCACTCGGAATGGGATATGACATTGCTCTGAGAAATTCATAGAATGATTTGGGTGGGAAGGACCTTAAAGCTCCTTTCATCCCACCTGCCGTGGGCAGGGACACCTTCCACCAGCCCAGGATGCTCAGAGCCAAGCGCTCTGTGTCACATCAGCTCAGAGTTTGAATTCAGGTAAACTGCAAACTGATGACTGGATTTCCAGAGATTGGAATCCAGCCAATTTTTCCTTGTTTTAGGTGTTTTCTCAGCAGTTACTGTTATTCTGGAGACATTATACTGTGCAGGAAAGGAATATCAGTGTGTTTTATCTTCTAATATACAATAACTGGGTTCCTTTATGTGAATTTTAAAATGAGAGAACCCAAGATATGGACAATTGCTGTTTTTATTTATAGTCTTATTTAAGTTAAGGAATAGGGCAAGTTCACCTGCCGCAACTGAAGTAATTTTTACGGTGAATATTAGCAGAGAAATGTGTTTTAGGTACTTCTATTCATCCAATTTTTGTCGAATTTATTTGGTGATGTGTAAAATCACATGTAGCCTTTAAAATAACATAATGTTCAGCAATTAGTTTCTTCCTTTCTTTGGAGTAACTGGTTTGTAGTAAATAAATAACACAATAAAACCACACAGGTAAAATAGGGATTTGCTTTGTAAAGACAATCATTTTCTTGTGTGTGAATTTCTACAAAAATATTGTGAATTTCTATAGACTTTCATTTAAACTGTAGTAATTGAATTCATTTTGCTGCCAGCTGAGGTCATCATAAAACAAACTTGGTTTATTTTCCAAGCTCTCCAGTTTGCTTTAGGAGACAAGTGAAAAAAAACAAGCAAAGAAGAGTTGAGGAACCCTCAAAAGCAGAGATTTATGAGAACTCTGTGAAGACTTTGGTAACCTCTGTGTAGCCAGGCTGCAAAATCAAAATATTTACCCCACCTCCGACCAGTTTGGACTGGGACTGGTGTCTGTGGTGAACCCAGAATGGCTGAAAAGCAGCTTCATGTTTACTCATCATCTTTTTCTGGGAAGGGACATTGGTGTGTCCTCACTTCAATCTTCCTACTCCTCACTCGGCTTTTTATCTGATCATACTTTTCATCCTTTTTTGCCTGAGGACCTAAAACAGGTGGAGAAAATAATGATGTGAACTCAGATCAGTACCTTCTGCTTGGTGAAATGTGGTGATTTTAAAGCATTTAGTGCCCTGTAAAAAGGAAGAATTTTCTTGCACACTTCAAGCCAGCTTTGTTTGATGTGAAAGAGAGGATTCTTTAGCTCCTCCTTTATTTACCCAGTGCCTTTACAATTCAGCCCTTCAGTGCCCTCCTTACAAAATATTCTATTTACACTTTAAACTGCAACTTCATCCCGCAGATTCTCAGTCCCTGATGAAGATGGGAATCATGTTGTACTTCACCCCCCCCATTGCCCAAATCTGGGGTTGCTTTCTCTCCCTCAGAAATAAAAAGCAGCTATTTCAGTTCCCCACGGGCTCTTTTCCCAGGGCATTCATATCGGAATGAAACCAATGTGCAAGTGAATTCTGGCCAAGCCATTTGAAACCCAGGAAACTTTACAAGCTTCCCCCTTTTATCCCCTTGGAAAAGCCCCGACCGTTTGTTTTATTCCAGGATACTGTATCGTAACAAATTATACTTAAAAATCATTTGGTGTGAAATTGCAGATTAATCCCACCGGGCTGGGGGCTCAGCCCTGTCTGGCCACTCGGGAGCACACAGATGGTGGCTCTGAGAGGGACAAAAGGCACAGGCACTGATTACATGCATGGATGTAACGGACAAAAAGCCCTTCCCCACGGAGAAGGTGAGGAAAACACACCGGAGGTCCCAGTGCCTGCTTTGGGCAGGGAAACTGCATTTTAAACTGTTGAAAATGTGGCACAAACAAAGGGAAACCTGCTTTTACTCCCTTTAAAATCCCTTTTTTACTTCCTAAGGCAATTACGACTTTTCTTATTTTTTCTTGTTGTTGTTTTGTTTTATTGCTTCTTTAGGCAGCAAACACCAACAAATGGTGACTCCTTTTGCAGTCTGGCAGCTTCCCTCACTGCCCTGTTCCTAAAACAGTGCCTGCTGTTCTGTATTCCACAGGGACACAATTGTCCTGCTTGCTGGGAAGTACTGAAAGTCTGGCCTGGAAGAAATGAATCTTCATCTTCATGAAGATGATGATGTTGAAGTTAAAACTGCCATCTGACCTCCTCACTGACTTTAAGGTGAAATTGTTCACACTTAGGAACAAAATCCATCGTGCTGCGTGTTCCTTGTGGGAATTCAGGTGTGTGAGTACAGTGCCCAGTCTCTGGAATGTCCAAAGCCAGGTTGGATGGGGCTTGGAGCAACCTGGGATAGTGGAAGGTGTCCCTGCCCATGGCAGGGGCTGGCACTGGATGAGCTTTAGGTCCCTTCCAACCCAAACCCTTCTGTGATTTGCCAAATGCCTGGAAAACTTGACCTGTGGCTCCTAATTCCCCCCGTAACAGAAATCTTGCAGAGCCAGAACTGTCTGTGCTTTAAGAGCTGGCAGAGCCCCCAAACCAACACACCAAGGCACACAGAACCTCACAATATATTTATAATTTAGCCACCCTAAGCTTAGCACAGTTTTATCTTTGTGAGTGAAAAACAAGAATATTTTGCCTTGATATTTGTCTGTTTTGGGGCAAAACACAGTTTATGGATGATATAATTGTGCAGTGCAGTTATTATATGCAATAATATGAAGGAAGTGTTGTGACAGGAGAATTCTGGTTGGCTGGTGTGTTTTCCACCACTTCAAATGTCCAACAGAATTGTTTTTGTCACAGGCTGTCAGGAGATTTCAACCCTCATAATGTCATTAATGAGAAAGTGATCTCTGAGAAATGTAGTTTTAGTGTATTTTCACATAGCCTCCAGCCAAATAATTACTTTTTCAAATACAGGGCTTAGTACAAGATTGTAGAAATTAGAAAAATTGGGATTGAAGCCAAAATTCCTTCCTTGAACCATCCTGTTTTCCGTAGATATTGTGCTGTGTGTGACAATTAGGAGCAGCATGTGCAGGAGACAATATTCCCTTAAGACAGGAAGGGGAAGAAGGTTGGAATAAAAACTTATTGTCCCCCTGAATTTTTAATGGCCTAATTATTAATTTCATTATTAATTTAAATGTCCTAAATTTCGACAATGAAATGAGAACAAATCCTTTTACTATATCAGCACAGTATTAATGCTTTTATTTTGCATTTTGGGGGTGAAATAAATAAGTTCTTTGGAAGTGATAATTTTTTTCAAATATGGAGGGAAATCAATATGCTATTGGCCGATGGATATATTTTATAATCTAGCTTGTCATTGAAAGAGGCAACTTGAGTCACAGAACACAGAAAATTGTCACTTTTGATCTCTTTATTGCTCTTTTGTAGTCCATGGTTTATTTACAGCTGAAGAACTGTACAGAGAATCTTGTGTAGGTCTCACCTATTTCTTCACCATAGTAATGAGTTTTTCCTCAATTAATATTCCTCACTTTGTCAGCAGATTCCCATGGATTGCATCATGCAGATAATGGCAGTGAATGCTTTTATCTACATGTGTGCTCGCATAAAAGTTCTCCTGTTTGCAGATGAAAAGTGAGGAAAGAAAAAAAAAGGAGATTTTAGAGCCAATTGTTTTCAGCTTCAGGTGAATATACAACTTTTTTGTTGCAGAAGCAATGAATGTTGACTAATTACAGAAGTACTTGGGGAAATTCTTGTTCTTAGTATTCTAATTATTATTTGCAGAACTCGAATCTCCTTGATCACATCGGGTTTATTAACCAGGACTAGAGACACTAAAATAAAACATTCCTCAAGGTTGCTGGAGGAAAGCCTTAAAAAAGCCACACAATTTTTTCTTTGCTTCTATTTCTGCCATATTTTCAGTGTATACACAGGCATATTTTATCTCAAATAAACAATGACACTCATAGGGTGTCAGGGTAATACTTGGAAGTGTAAAGTCCAAATTCAGTGTGATAAAGACCTTTCAGAATTCATGACAAGAATATTGATTTCCATTTTCTTCCTGGCTTCTGTGAATCTTAGTTGAATATATAACTAGTTATACACATATATCATCCCTCATAAAGCAAATTCACTTTCCTGCCAGTCATTCACGTGTTAGGTGATTCCTGGTCTAAGGACTTGCATAACTACGACTTCCCAGGTGGAAGGATCCTGCAGGAGCCAGCACTGCTCATTCCTTTGGAGTCAGTGGGACCGACCACATGGGCAAAGAGAAGAATGTGCATATTTTTCTAAGGCTCTAAGATCCTTCTCTTAATAAGGCCATCATCAAATTAACATAATCAAGAAGTCGTCAGTTCTTTTATGAACAGCTTCTCTGGCAGGTTCCTGCTCCCTCAGCATCTCTGCTCTGAACAATATCACAATGTAGTGAATATTGTTTCATGCTTCCACAACACACAAGTCTAATTAAACCATTTCTGCACCTCCCCTGCCCATAACTCTTCATTTCAGTAATTAGAAGACACCCCAGTACGGACACGCTGTTTCATCAGCTTTTAGGCTCCGAGACTTAAAACTAACATTTTCAAAAGCATTTCATGGTTTGAAAGAATGGTCAATTAACCTTGGGTTTCCTGTGGGGAACCCTGCAAAGAACTGTCAACAGTTCAGTTTAGAGAGATTTGTCCAGTGACCTACAAGGCCACGAAGTTCACGAATGCATGTACCAGTGTCATCATAGATTTGTTCCCTGGGTTACTGTCACAAGGGAAGAAACTGATTGTTTGGGGGTTCCTGCTACAGTAAAAAGTGACCGACGGGTGACGGGACCCCGGAGCTGCTCCCGGGCAAAACCGGAGCCACTCAACAGGAAAAACCTCTGGTATCTCCAAGATGAATTATGTGTCTCTTTCTCTTCCTCCCATAAGGTTCTTTCTTCTTTTCAGGAAGGGGCTGGGGCGAGTCCATGGACTGCCTGCTGAGTTTCTTTGTATTTGGAATTCCCTCCAAACGGCAGCGTAAGATAAACGTCTGATTATTGCAGTGCTGACAGTCTTCAGATTTAAGTGATAGCAACATCTAGCTCTTTATACCAAATTAAGGGCATTCTGTGGAGCAGTAGGAGTTGATTCAGGGATGCACCTGCTGAAGGAAGTCAACAAACCCATTCTGAGCCCTTCTGGAGAGATGACACCGTTGAGCTGCACGGAGCCGATTCTATTGTGACATCTAAAAGAAAGCAGAAATCTCCTACTGGCCCCTGAGGGCCAAAAAAATCTCTGGTTTCATGAGGGAGGCAGAACTAGCCACAAATGACATTATCTTCCACGTGGGATCTGATAAATGGAAATTAAAATCTAGCAGGTGGCACTTGGCTTTGCTTTTCCTTCAGTGCTCTGTAAACACAGGATTTTATTGCCATTTCACAAGCTGCATGGAGAATTGATTTTATTTTCTTCTACTCAGCATCAGAATGTTCTCCCTGGCCAACCTGGCAGATCAAAGTTTGAGGTATTTGTTCTTATCTTTACTGGTGGCCAGTTGTTTTTCAGCACTTCTCTATGCTTGACTCTGAATGCCCTTCTGTGTGCTCAGCCTTTAATTTAAAATACCAGAAAAATCTGGATTATGGCACTGTGCCCTCAGATGAAACAGGAATAATTCAGTGTCATATGAACATGGAGCTTCTACATTAAATCTGTTTTTCCTGGCTTTTGTCACACCCATGACACTTTCACAAGCGTCAGGTTTGTTGCTTCACAATTGTAACTGTCTCTAGTGAAGTTTAAACCCCTCAGGTGATCCTATGTAACGCTCCAAACTTAAAATTTTAAGATGTGAAATAATCAGGAGGGTTTTCTGAAACACACTTGTACTTGTAGAATCATGGAATGGTTTGGGTTGGGAAGGATCTTACAGCTCATCCAGTCCCGCTCCCTGCCATGGGCAGGGACACATTCCGCTAGACCAGGTTGCTCCAAGCTCTGTCCAACTTGGCCTTGGGCACTTCCAGGAATGGGACATTGTACTTTACACCTGATTTCCCACCAGGGGCACTCAGCTGTGCATCCTAAGAGCAGTTTCTGTACTGGGTGCAGGTAACACCTGCTGCAAATAAAGAATTCTCCAAAACCCCAGTGCTTCTGTTTTCCCAAGTGCTGCATGAGCTGAGCAGGATATCCTTCAGAATGGAGGAAATAGAGACATCTTTATATTAATTTCTTAAAACTGGACCATATCTAAGGATTGTAATTGAAATCTGTGCCCTATTGTGAGTTTTACACAGATGCAGAGTTGTGGCTTAGGCCCCCAAAGATCTTCCTCCCTACAGTGATTCCCACCTGAGCACATCCATTGGGCCAAGTCAAAAAGATTTTCACCCAGACCTGAGGTGATGTGAGTCTTTCAGAGCTTTCAACCATGAGAAGACATGGGGGGAAGGGAATAACATTGATCCTTTGTATTGCCAGCAACCCTAGGTTGTATTTTAGCAATGACATGTTTTATGGGCCATTCATTAAGAGTTGAACTCCATGATACATGTGGGTCCCTTCCAGCTGAGAATATTCTGTGATTCTGTGATTCTGTTTGTTGTTCTAATGTGGCCACAGAGTCCCCTCGTGAGGTTCTTGGTGTGCAGGAAGGGAAGGACGAATAAAAATAACGGGTCTCGTTTATAAATTTACCCATTCTTTCCTAACAAAACTTGCTGGGGAGAGGCTGAACTGCTCTTTCTGTGCTCAGAAGTCCCAGGGCACAGATTTAAAATGCAAAGCCTGGCTTTGCAGGCCGGGATGTGCCGGGGGGGGGGGGGGGGGGGGGGGGGGAGGGGAGCAGGGGATGAGGAGCCGAGGGCGGCGCGTTGCACGAGCAGCGTTAGACATTGAGAAAGATATCATTAGATTAAAAAGGTGTCTCCAGAGAGAGACAAAGGGCCAGCCAGGGCCTGGCGTGTCAGCATTGCCCAACACGAGCCTCAGAGTCATTGCTGGTGACAACAGCTGCTCAGGGAAAGGCTTTCCTGGGAGACATCCCCATCCCACCAGGGCCCAGTGTGCGAACACACACGGGCTGTCATTCCAGCAGAGTAAACAGGCAACAGGCTCCACACCTCCCTCTCCTCAGGATTAATTACTCATGGGAAGTGACAGCTACTGTCTAGTGCCTCCAAGTTGTTGCCCATTCATGTTTCCTCAAGGACAAATGGCTTCATTTCTGAATTTGTCTGACTGTTCCATTGCAGTTTTGAAAGCAAGAAATGATAAATTTTTCCTGGTTTTATTGCTGAGGCAGAACTGGAAGAGATCAATTCATCATTCATAATGTCTCTCATGACAGCTTGGTTTCTTGCTACATTCAAATTATCTCTCCTGGGTTTATTTTTTATATGGAAAATAAAAGTTCAGTCTCTTTGCTACAATTTTTGGAGCATTTCCAAAGGAAAATATTGGTCCTGCTAAACTCCTGAAAACTGCAATGGAATATGAAGTTGGGCACTTCTTTTTCTAGTTTTTCTTTGGCCTTGTCAAATAGGTTTAACCTTTATGGATTATATATTTTGTTTATAATGGGCAGTTTAATGGATGGATTAAAATATAGGGGTATGTACCAGGAAAAAAAAAAAAGAATCTGTTGGGGTTATTCATGTGCTTTTGGATTTGATTTCCTTCCTACTTCCTTATTTAATAACTAGGTTCCTTAAGACTCCTTAAGCTTGAATGACCCACGTTTTGTTGCCAGGTCTATTCCACTGACCCCTGGCAAGACCCCTGCCCCAGTTCGTCCATCAGACAAAAATGAATCTATTCCAGGAGCTCTCAGTTCCCATTAGCTCTAATTGAGCCTGACAGTTGGAGACAGGCCTCATTATTTTTAATTGGGCCCTATAGTTCTAGAGTGAAATTAAACACAATTTAATGCAGATAGCTCATCTCCCTCACTATGACACAGTCAAATTGTATTTTAAGTTTAATGAAACAACAGGGTTTGTTTCCAGGCTTTGCTTTTGCAGAGTGTTACTGCTTTGAGCTCTGTGTTATTTCCAACTTGCCTGGTGTGAGGACATGGATGTTAATTAGGATCTGACCTGGGTGTGCACCTGGAGGACCCTTTCACTCCACTTTTATACCAAAAGTGCTGTGCAGGCACAGGGTGGTGGTGAACGACTCTGGAAGAAGCTCAGACTGTCTGTAAGAGTTTCATATGCCCTGGACATCAAGGATTTGCAGTGATGTCATGCAAATATAAGAAACTCCTGAAAGTTTTCCCAAATCTCTGTGGGAAGTTTTATTCAAAAATTAAAAATGAAGACACTTTTCTGCACCTCAACAAGGGCATTTTTAATGCTTCATTCAGAGCTTCTGGGCTTTTTTCTGTCATGAAGGAACATTTTTGTCACTATTGGGTGGTGCTTTTCTGTGAAGACACCTGTGAATAGAGAAGGACTTGAACCGTCCTGTTGCTCTAAGTATTAAAAGTGATCCCGTGTTGGATTTTCATTGGGAAGGAACATCCCAGTCCCTGTTGATGAAGGGACAGTCTCACCATCCTCACTGTGGTGATTTTCAGCCACACAGGAGTTTGTAAAATCATTTCCTGAGCTCTTCCTTTGCAGCATTTAGTGAGTCAGCCGTGGGGTATGAGGCCAAGTCACTTTTTATTGAATACTGAAATATTGATAACTTTGCCAGAGTTATCAAAGTTAATCCATCACAATATTTCTCTTTGGAATAAAGATTATGGAACCAAGTCTAATTACAGAAGACTTTGATTAAATATTGAATTTTCCAATACAAGTTTCCCTTTACACAGGTGAAGTTACAGACACACATTTCAGAGGACATTTCCTTTAATATATTTGCATTTTCTGCAGCTTCCTCTTCAGCTTTGCTTGACGGTCAAATAAAGAAACAACAGTACTTCTCTCATGAGGTTTAACACATCAAATTGGACATTTTTTCACGAATGTGTCTTTAGGAATTCAAGACAAGAATTCTTCAGTTTGGAACAGCAGGATCTCTCCCCTTCAGAAGAGTTTAGGCAGCTTGCTTTAATAATTATACACCGTGTGTTTAATTAGCAGATACTTATTCATGGGAATTCTATGACATCAAACCTGGAGGCTGGGATTATCCTGGAGAAAACCAGCAAGGATTACCCAATGTTTGTACAGGCACTGCACCTTTCCAGCTGCTCCCCTTGACCTCCCTCCCAGAGCAAGAGTCAGTTATTCCTCACCTCTCCCGGCTGCCTCCGAAGGCTCTTCTGAAGCAAATCACACCTGGAGAACAACACCTGGAAGAGCTGGAACTCCAGCTTTCCTCTCAGCATTGCTTTTTCTGGACACAGGTGCCATCACCTTCCACTGGAAGGTGGCCCTGCCCATGGCAGAGGGTGGAATGAAATGATCTTTATGTTCCCCTCCAACCCAAACCATCCTGACATTCCATGATCACAGATGAAAGGTCTGCTCTACCTTCAGTCTTCCTGTGGGGTGTGGCCATCCTTTTCACCTGATAGATTTCATCTGGCCTTTTTTTCCCCCCAATTAATTAATTTGCAGGGATGCCCTTTATATTTCAGAGCAACCAAATGGATTCAGTGATGGGAAGCTGGAGAGGGAGCAGCTCAAATAGGTGGGAAACTGTGGAAGGGGTGAGAGAGGTGGAAGTTAGCAGGGAAAGAAAGCAGGAAGGGAAGAGCCAGAGCAGCAGCTTGCAGGACACAGCTCAGTGCCAGAGTTTGGGCTGTAGAGCAGAATTTCCTGTGTTCCAGGGAGAAAATAAGGGTAAGGGGGAATGATATAATTTCTCCTCCAAATATTTTACATGGAAGTAAAAATAGTGACCTAAATAGTAAATTTCTTAGCCCAACCAGTCATCTGAAGTTTTATGTGGTGGCACTTCTGGAATGAATTTTCCATGCCCACAACCAGCCTGCACATGGTCCTCCAGACAGAACCAACTTCCTAGCTCTTCACTCATTAGGTATTTTTGTTGGCTTTAGCTTGGCTGGCAGAGCCCCCTCTGTCCCTGGCCCTGCAGGAGGTCCCTGCTGTGACAGCCTAAAATACCACAGGATCCAAGGGGTCTGTCATCTGCTGTTGTCCTTTTGATTGAACTTGGAGAGAAAAGGCTTTTGTACAGCTTGTGGCCTGTTCCCCACACCCTCCTCGTGTTATAGACACAGATTTAGTGACCTGTGGGAGAAGGGAGACTGAAAGAGATTTATTGCAGCTTTCCATGACTTTATATATTTATATTTGGGGTTTATTACAGCTTTTCCATGCCCCTCTGTGTCTATATTTGGGATTTTTAGTGATTCTTGGCCATTAGCATTTGGGCACTGCAGAATAATCCATGTTGGAATGTTCACCACAGACACAA